CGGCGCGGGCGTTCATGAGCCTCCGAGCGACCCGCCGCCCCGGGAGCCCGCGCCGTGACTCACCCTCCGTCCCCGCTTGTGTCTCCTCGTCCCTCCCGGCAGGATGCCGGACCAGATCTCCGTCTCCGAGTTCATCGCCGAGACCACCGAGGACTACAACTCGCCCACCACGTCCAGCTTCACCACGCGGCTGCACAACTGCAGGAACACCGTCACGCTGCTGGAGGAGGTAGGCTGCGGGCCGGGTCCCCGCGCGCAGCCCCGGCGCCCGCACTGGGGTCCGCTTGCCTGCTGAGGTGGAGAGGAAGGAGGAAGGGGATGTGGCGGGGCGGGGGGGGGAGATGGGGAGACACACCCCCCTCCCCTTCCCCGCTCCCAGGTGCCTGGAGGGGGGGCACTTCCGATCTGCAGCCCCCTTCCTCACTTGCCGGCCCTTCTCGGGGTCCGGTGGGTTTCAGGGCCCGCGGGGGGGGCGCAAGTGGAGCTCGGGACCCCCCCCCCGAGAGAGGGGTGGGAGAAATCTCCTCCCCATCCTTGGTCCTGTCCGCCGTCCAGGCGGTCTTCGGGGGCGCTTCCACATCCTGGTGACCCGCTCCTCACCCGTAGAGTAGGTGTGGCGTCCGGCCGGCCACCGAGGTCAGAAGCCGAGGCGTCGCGGCCAAGGTCACCGGGACTCGGTGGGTGGACAGCGAAAGCGCTTCGCCGTGGCCGCCGCGCTGAGCCTGGCAGACTTGGCTGCTGAGATAAGGGCCGGTGGAAAATGCCCACAGCACCCGAGGGGAGTCGGGCGGAGGCTGCCTCCTCCTCCCCTGGACGCCTTCCGGCCGGTCTCTGGCGCCCGAAGTGCCGAGCGCCTAGGCGAATCTGTGCAAACAGGTCCCCCACCCGGCGCCCCTTTGCCACAGGCCTTTGGTGGGGTCTGGCAGCACCAAGCCAGGTCTGCAGGGCACTGGAGGGCTGTGAAAGCAGACCCGAGGCCCGGAGCCCGCAGAACTGATGGAACTGGGAAGAGGGAGGGAGGGAAGGAGAGGGAGGGCTGTAGAAGGCTCAGACTTTCCCCCCCCCCCCCCCTTAATCTGGACCTTCCAGCCTAGCACCAGGCAGGGTCAAGGGCACAGCGATTTCCTGAAAATTTTGGAGTGGATTAGTGATAAATTGAGATGGGTAAGAAGGAACTGGAAAGCCCAGGAGCTACAGAAGCCTCTGGAACCTCAGTGAAAATAAAGCATTTGCACTGGAACTCAGCACCATCTCTCAGTACGGCAAAATAGTACTGCTTTCAAACAAGACCCAGCAGGAAAAGACAGCCTTAGGAAGAGAAATGATTTTTCCCTAGGGGAATTATGTGCTTGGTTTATTGAGGTTTGGAGAGCCCTTTCTGACTTAAAGCCACCATGACCCACCCTTGTAATGTTGGGAAGCTGGTGGTTTTGTAGGTAAACGGCTTTCAGTACTACTTTTGATTGTGATCCTTGAGTTACTATAGGAAGAACCCCTATTTAGAAATAACAGTTTTAGGTTTTGTGCTCCTATTGAGCCCCCCAGTTCTGGGTATTAGTATAAATGTTTCATTCAGTTGAGGATGCTTCTAGAGTTCTCTCTAGAGTCATTGTTGAGTGCTTAAATTAATTCTGAAGTGGGTGGAAGAATACCTCCTAAATAGGTTTGTTTGAAAGCCAGAGGTAAATAGATTGAGGGTTTTTTTTGTTTGTTTGTTTTGGTTTGGTTTTGGTTTTGTCTTTGTGAATTGTCAGTCCCTTGTGTTACCTTGACAGAGGCTGAAATTAAAGAGAGTTGCCAGGCATTCATCCTCATGATGAGTCCTTCACGTATTATGGTAAATTGGAACATGCTGATAGAGGAGTATTCTGTATCTTTTTTCTGTACCTCTAAAGTATATGACATTGATTAGACTGCAGTGTTATTTTCATTTTAGGTAAGTTCTTCAGTGCTTGCTAATAGAGCTGTCAGTTACTTTTAACTTTCTTGCTCTGCACATTTAGATAGTGTTACTGTAGTCTGCAATACATGATAAGGGTTTGGACAGTGCTGTTTGTAGGAGTATTTGTGCATATTGAAGCAACACCTTGGATAGAGTTAATGTCATACTATAAGCAGTTGCTCTGACCTAAGTTTAAATTTAAATGCAAATGTCAATGATGTTTAAATTTCATTTTTAATTTTTAAAATGTAATTTGCATGTATCTCCTAATAAAATCTGACTTGCGAGCTTGGGTAGAAAAGGAGATGGAACTGTAACAATTTGAATGTGCCTGGCCTCAGCCATTTTGGAAGAATTGGAACCAGGCTAGAAGTTCAGAAGTATCACCTTAGAGTACATTGTTGATAATACTCGCATTCTCAAAAATGTAACAGTAAATGTTTCATTCAGGATGCCTTAATAATATTTCTTTTTTCTGAACTTGAGTACAGTGTTGGTTACAAAATGATTGTCTCTACTCTGAAGATTTTAACTTTTAGCATACTTCAGGAGATTGGACTCTCAAGATTAGCTTTTTGCATGAATGCTTTAGTTCCTTACTGGACAGCCATCACAGTTGAATTTCTCCTTTTCCTTCAAGCTTACATATATGAAGAAGATACACATATAAATATCTTGTGAATCACAGTTCAGTTTTTCAAAAATATAACACTTAAGGTTATTGCCCCTAAAATAAGAGGAAAAATTGAAGGGCATACCACAAATTTTTGTTGGCATATACTTCACAAGTGAGATATTTGGAAGCTGTAAGGATGTGGCCTGGGTGGTTCTCTGGTTATTCTTGGGAATAGAGCTGTGGGTACTTTTTTTTTTTTTTTTTTTGGTGATGTGGAAACTTTGGAATAGGACTAGAATTTTCTCCTTATTAAAAAAAAAAGCCTTTCCCCAGTTCTTGTAATTAAGTACTTCCTGTTTATTTGTGGTCTTTGCTGTTGTTTGGATTACTGACATATATAGATAGATAGACTGCAGCTAAAACACTATGAGATCTCCAAGCTTGGGGCTCCAGATTAACCCATACTCTTCCTTTTGCTGTCTCCTTGGCAAAGACTATACTGTACTGTGCAGATGTTAATGCTTTTATTTAAAGTCTCTGTGATGAGCTCTCTAGGAAATGAGTCAGAAATCTCTGGTAAGAAGAGGCTGAGTTTACTTCTAGGCTTCTTTGGGGGTAAAGGGGCACATATGGCTGTGGGAGTCAGGGCTTAGCTGGCACACAGTGATTGGAGGCTGTTTGGGGGGAGGCAGGAATGGATCCACTGGTGCTCTGCCAAGGTTTCATCCTGGTGTGTGAGTGTTTTCCAAGCAAAAAAGCCAGTGTTTTGCTTATTCTGCAACTAAAGCACACTGCTGAATGCCATTTTACTTGTGACTGGAAGTTATGAGTAAGTGACTGGGAGATGGTTTTCTGCAGAAAGGAGTAGGCCAGCATTTTAGGATCCACGGTGAGGGAGCCAGTAGAAAGGGATCTTCCTTTTACAGGTTTCCAGTGGCAAATACTTGGTACCTTTTGAAAGGAGGAGAGTCCCGCACGGTCGGCATAGGTCAGCTCAGTTACTTTAGGTTGGATGCATTTCAGTTTGGGGCTGATGGAGGAGGCATGTTCCATTTATTTGCTGAGCAGCTGCTCTGTACAAGGCCAGTCGTAGACAAATGAGGTGTACGATCACGTGCAGTCTTCATGTGAGTGCTGAAGCAGGGACAGTTACTAGCTGCATTTTATAGAGAAGAAAATTGAAGCCCCAAGTTGTGAAATGATTGGCTAGTAAACAAATGGAGTAAGGAAACCCTTTAAACAGTTAAAGCATAATAGATGTCCTGAGTGTCAGCAAAGACCTATTTTGGTGACTCTGTGGAAACATAGAGTGCCTTCACTTTCACTGAGCCTTCTAAAACCATACCGGTCTTTCTTACCTAGGAAGTTCTTAATAGTTAGGCTTTGGTATGCTGATTTTTATCCTGTGCTTTCAAAGGTTTGGATATAGATCTTATAGACTGAAATGTGGGAACTTATGTAGGTATAATCTACAGACAACATTCACTCAGCAAAGTTTTGAGGAGAACCTGTGACATATATGTCACTTTGCCAACCCCAGCTGCGCTATTAGGGTTATTATTTGAATTGTATTATGGAAGCTAATGATATTTGAGAAAAATAAATAAAGCTGTAACTCTTAGCTGAGTAGAGCACATAAATTCATAGCTAGGAGAAGCAGTGCAGAACTTTTACTCCCGCAATATAAACTGTGGCTCACTCATTTACCATCCAGTTAGTATACAAATTATTGCGAGCCTCCTACTGCTAGTCCAGGGATACAAATACAAACCACCTTGCCCTTGGAGTGTCCTGTTGTAGTGTTCCTAAGGGAGCTGGCAATCACGTGTGATTCTAGCACCAGAGACTTGTCTTAACTTACATAGATGGTGTGTGCAATCATTTCTGAAGGCATAGAAATGGTTAAATGAAAAACGAGGATATAAAATGTAGATTTATTATCAAGGAAGAAACTGAGGATTACAGACATTAAACATCTTGTCCGAGGGCTGGGAAGGTGGCTCAGTGGTAGAGCGCTTGCCTTGCATGAATGAGGCCCTGGGTTCAATTCCTCAGCACCACATAAGCAAAAAGAAAAAAGCCAGAAGTGGCGCTGTAGCTCAAGTGGTAGAGCGCTAGCCTTGAGCTGAAGAGCTTAGGGACAGCGCCCAGGCCCAGAGTTCAGGTCCCATGCCCGGACCACCCCCCCCCCCCAAAAAAAAAAAAGATCTTGTCTGAGGTCACAGTAACTAGTTAGCTTGGGAGTTAATCATATTTCTGTAGCATCTTCCTGTATCTGCCTTGAGTAGTTGGGATTCCAGGCATGCTGCTTTCCTACTTGACTTTTGATGCCCCAAAGCCATAGTTGTAGGAGAAGGAAGAAAAAGTAAGTAACCCATTAGCTTTTTTCTGCTTTTAGGAGTCTTCTGTTTAAATCTCTGCCTTTTGTGGTCAATGATAGTGCTGCCAGCAATCCTTCCTAGGCTGAGAAGTGAGTTGGCCATGTGGCTTCCAGCTCCACCCTGGCATACATAGTCTGGAACTATAGATCAACCCTTTGCCAGTGGGCTGCCCACAGACCTGGCTGAAGAACCACTACTTGAAGCTGTTGTTGGATCAGGGTTGCTCAGGCTATACACAGCCCTGCCTTTTTGGGTGCTATTAAAGGTATTACTAAATACCTGAGTTCAGA